TGCTAAATTAAGACTAATCGAGATCGCTCTTTACTGTTGAGACCTTCTCTTGGGTAGGTGCCCAAGGGGTGTGTCACCTGTGCCAAAACATTTTTACCACCTGAGAAAAAGAACAAAGAAGGGGAAGCTGTGGCAGCCTCTGACCCTTTCTGGGCTTCCTATGCTGGAAATACAAATGTCTCTCAGGCAAATCCATCCTATATCTACATGAGCAGTGACCAACAAGTAGCACCCTGGGCTTGAGAGCAGTTGGAGGCAGAGCGACCAGATTCTCACTTAAGCTCCCTCCAGCCTTGGGGCTCGGGACTGTGGTCACTTCAGCACCACAGCTCTGTACCAAGAAAGGCTGAATTAAACCAGCATTAGCTGTACTTGTAAATTTTTCAGCTAACTATGGTGATTCAGAGGATCTGCAGAACAGAAAGGGAAGGCGAAAACCAGCTTCTAGAGTACATTTGGTGGTTCCACTTCAATGTCTGTGGTTTCACTGATCAAGAAGACTTAGAAGCAGAGTTGGGGGCGGTGGCCAGAAGACCTCCTACAACCATCTCAACCAGCCCCATCAGTTTCCTAAGTGTCCCCTCAACATCCCCACCAGTGATTCTGAAGCCTCTGCTTGTCTCCAAGGACGGGGAACTCACTGCTTCTCTTCTCTGGCCAGCTGTGATCCTGAATTCTGGGGATGTGCTGATTCTCAGCCATGGCTATCAAAATATGGAGCTTTTGATTCATGTTCTATTGTCTGCAAATTCCAAGCAGGACAGTTGCCAGAAGGACTCACCAGTGGGGGTTACTGGGGAGGTTGGATGGGTCAGCTTGTTTGGGCCCTTCTAGACTGATAGAAATAACCACCAATAAACATTTTCAGAGTTTCGCAACGTGAAAGAGAAAGGCTCCATCCTGATGGTGTGAGGGATTCCTCACTGGATGACATACCAAGAGGGCAAGACCAGCCCTTTCTGTAGAGGGTCTGGCTAGTCAGGGGGTCACTCCTCAAATAAACCCCCCAACCCAGTGGTTCTCAAACTTGAACCAACATCAGAATCACCTGCAAGTCATAATAAAACAGACTGCTGGTTCCAAAAATCAGGGGTGGTGCTCAAGAATGTGCGTGTCTAGCAAGTTCTCAGGGGATGCCAGTGCTACCGGTTGGAGGACCACGTTGAAGAGCCACTCTTCTAAACCTTCTCATGTCTAATTCATTTTCCCCTCAAAGCTTCCGAAGGACGGACTTTGGATCTGGTTCAAAGAGACTGGGTTTCAAGTCTTGACTCAGCCATCAGCTGAGAATGACAGCTGCTGCTTCTTTGTAGGGCTGATGCGGGGCCGGTGACACAGTGTCTGCGAAGCCCCAGCCAGTGCCTTGCTCACAATAGGCAGGTCATCCTAAAGCTCCATTTCAGTAACCTGTTCTGGAGCTTCTGCTTCATGTTCTATTGTCCGCAAATTTCAAGCCAGAGAGCTGCAGGACTCACCAGGGGGGCTTACTGGGGAGCTTGGATGGATCAGGTTATTGGGGCCTTTCTAGACTGATAGCAATCACCATCATTTAATATTTTCAGGGTTTTGCAATGGTCTGTAGTACTGCAGACCACTGACTTGAGCTCTTCCTTTGCACAAGGACCAGGTGGCTTATCCAGATAAAAGGGAAATTTTACTTAGTGTCTGTATGTTAAAATCTCTGTCTGTTACTCTGTCTCCAAATACGTTTGGTCATGTCAAAGATTGTGTATCTCTCCTCTGTGCCACTTTTCCGCAGTCCCATTTTTAACCCTGGTCTTCACTGGCTTTGCCATCTCCCAGAACGATTCTGGTGAGCCAGCCACAACCCCCGTCTACAGGAGCAGGTGGCCTAAGGAGTTCCCAGCAAGGCTCTCCACATGAGATGGAGATGCTGAGGCCAGAATGTACTGGGCCCATTCTGCTGCAGAAGTGAAGTCTAATAGCAAAATAAAAACAAGAGTCCCTGCCCCATCTCAGAGAGCTCAGGAGGCAACAGAAGAGAGAAAATGGATCACTCGAGACACCTTGAGGGGAGGAAACACAAATCCAGCCACAGAGGCTGAGCTGCTAGACTCAAAAACCTATCCGCAGAGCGGCACTGCCTAGCTGGCCAGGGAGGCAAAGCCCAGGTAGCAGGCCTGCAGAGTGGAGCCTAAGGGACTGAAGACGCCTCCCCTTTCCCAGCACCGCGGGCTGAGTGTGTCAGTATCCAGTTGATGAGCAGGGCCCATAGGTGGCCCAGGGGCAGAGGGCACAGGCTGCAGGGGCTGGACTGGGGTTGCTGAAGGCTGGGATCACGCACAGGTTGCAGGGAAATCTGCATAAAGAAAAAAGGTATTTGAAACATTGGCATGAGAAGCATGTGAAAGACAAAAGTATATTATAGACACTTTAGAATTAAAGAGTGAAAAAAGACTTTAGACCTTAGAGGTCTCTCTAAGCTTGAAAGGGGCAATGATATTCCCAGAGTCCACAGTGGAGCTCAGACCAGCACTCAGCATACCTGTGTGCAAGGCCAGGGTCACATCCCATGTGGAAGGAACACAGCAGAGAGAAAGGCCAGAGGAACAAGAACCACCCAGATGTCAGCCACCGACTCCACTTAAACACAGCCCCTAGTAGTGTTCCTTGGTGCTTAGAGGGGTAGATCAGCCCTCTTACTCTTTTCACAGAGCTATTGTGGCACTAAAATGAAAGAGTATGCGCACATGCCCTTAGCAATACTTTAAAATGCTGTGAGCACAAAGATACTCGTTATTGGAATACTTCTTCTGGGGGGAATTTAGCAAAACCTAAATGCGCTGGGCACTCAGTATTTTAGCCCTCTGTGGGAGTGGCCAGCAACTGCGAGCGCAGCGTGGTCAGCAAAACAAATGCCATGACCTGAAAACTCCTGCACCCTCATCTACATCTAGGCAGGCATTAGCTTACCAGGTCTACTCGTAGCAAGTTTGTCTCCAAAGATGGCATCTGCAATGCCACCCCCAGCTGGCCTCCAGAGCTCCTTTCAGGTTATTCCCAAGAGAAGTTCTCTTTGCACAGTGTTGACATAGACACCAACAGGATACGTACTTGCAGTCCTCACTCTCCAGAAGGTTCCAGTATGTGGCAGTCTCGTTCTTCAGCCCGGCCTTCACGTCCAGCAGCACCTGGTACTCCTGGTTCTGCCGCTCCAGGTCAGCCTGGATCTCAGACAGCTGCTCCTCCACATTGTTGATGAGGCCCCTCCACAGCTGCTCCTCCACATTGTTGATGAGGCTCCTCCACAGCTGCTCCTCCACAGTGCTGATGAGGCTCTGCATCTGGGCCAGCTCCGTGCGGTAGCGGTCCCCAGCTTCACACAGGGCGTTCTGCAGACAGTCCTGTGATATCAAAGAAAGGAGGATGCAAGTTAAAAATCATGGATCTCTGCTTCCAACCTCTTAAGATCGTGACACCCCTAGACATGGCCAGGTCCAGAGAGCAATCTAACAGCCTTTAACTGTCTTCAGCCAGAAGAACTAACACTGTGCTACTGCTCTTCATGGTAGACATTTAAGATCAGAGCCCTCTGTCCTTCGTTAATGTTGATTGACTCAGCATCCACATCTACAAGAAAGTGCTTCCAAAGGAGACGAAACCAAGGTTTAAGCTGAGTCTGTGGTTGGTATTTGAGGCCTGTGCTGACCCCAGAGAACTGCTCATGGGTAGTGGGAGCCAAGCTGTGTCTCCCACATGTGCAGAGGGACTCAACAGTATGTGCTGAGCCTGAAGCCCCACCTCCAGGGCGTTCACCATGCGTCTCAGCTCCAGGATCTCCAACTGGCAGCACTGCAGCTCCTTGGAGCCAGACATAGCCTGCAGGCTGATGCCTTCAGACTAGAGCACAGAGAGGCATAGCCACCTCCCTGCCCAGATGGAGGCCAATCCCCACAGCTCAGCAGTGCCCCTCACCTGGGCTTGGAACCACTGCTCCACATCCTGGTGGTTGGTCTCCACCATGGCCTCGTACTGACCTCACATCTCCCCCAGCACCCTGCTCAGGTCAGTGGTGGGCTCGATATCTAGCTTGATCCAGAGCTTGTCTCCCAGCTGACCCCTCAGAGTGCGGGCTACCTGTGGTCATCAGAGGAGTATGATGCCCCTGTAGCCTCCCCCTACTGCCCTCCACCCAAACTCTCAACTCCCACTTCCCATCCTCCCCAGTGATTTCCCTGTGCTCCTCTGAAGATGAACTGCTGCCTGCACCAGCCCAGCAGCTTCCAGAGGCTGTGGATGAAAAGCAATCTCCCACCAAAAGCCAGAGCTCACCTGCACAGCTTCAATCCCAAGAAGAAGGAAGACTCCATTTTTTCCCCTGAATGAGCCTAAATTCACCTCCAGAAAGTCTCGATGCATCACACCAAGGGCCATACACCACTTGTGGTTCTTCTTGAGGCAAAGCGGCTTTCTTCAGATCTAGAACAGTGAGACTTGCACAGTACCCTGAAGAAAGATGACAAAACACAGTGTCCCTTCCAGCACTGAGGGCAGACCCTTCTCAGGTGGTGTCAACCCTTTGGCTTTCACATGTTTTCATTTTAGGCATGGAGCATGACTTTTGCAATGAATTATCAGCACTCACAAATTAATCAAGCTGCAGCATAGACACATAGTAAGGCAATAGAGTCCCCCAGGAAATAGCCTCAAGAAAGGAAAATTTTGTACAAAATTTAAGGCCAAGTCCCAGCTCTGCCACTCAGTCGTCACATGGCTTCTGGCAGGTCACACCAGCACCCCAAGCCCACCTGTGGAGGAAATGCTATCCCTGCCCACCTGCTTCACAAGCGTCTTACCAGGTGGATGATGCATTCTAGCACATGTTATAAACTGTTAATGCTAAACCACTGGAGAGCAGATCGTTTTTCAACATCTTGAGCTTCATGCCCTTTGCTCTCTCCTGCTGTAACTATTGGGTTGGGGTCTGGGTCGATGACATCCTGATGCCACATGAGACAGAAGCAGCCAAAGTAGGTGCCTGGCTCCTCCCTATCCCCATCCAACCCCAAGTCACTAGTCATCCCCAGCAACTTGGCTTTGTCTATTTGCAAACCAGCCTATTGTTCTATGATTTGGTGCACAGAGTCTGGGATAAGAAAGTAGGCTAAGTGAGTGATTTACTGATCCCAGAGACACCGATGGCCTTAGGTGAGAGGAAGTTTCCTTGGCTGAAGTTGAAACTACAACATCCCCCTGGACAGCACAAACTCCCAAACATGCAAGAGATACTTTCGTGGTTCTGGAAGGCAGATGTGCAAGAGACTTCTTGGCAAAGGATGAAGGCATAGAGTCAAAGGAACCAGGAGATGGAAGACAGTGGCAAACTGAACACATAACGAAGACTTGCTTCCATTTTGCCAGATATGATTCTTAGCCCAATATAAATAAGAAGATCCGGCTAGGCATGGTGGCTCATGCCTACAATCCCAGGACTTTGGGAGGCTGAGGCAAGTGGATCACCTGAGGTCAGGAGTTCAAGACCAGCCTGGCCAGCATGGTGAAACCCCATCTCTACTAAAAATACAAAAATTAGCTGGGAGTGGTGGTACCTGCTTGAAATCCTAGCTACTCGGGAGGCTGAGGCAGGAGAATCACTTCAACCCAGGAGGCAGAGGTTGCAGTGAGCCAAGATCGCACCACTGCACTCCATCCTGGGCGACAGAGCAAGACTCCATCTCAAAAAAAAAAAAAAAAAGTCCAGAATCTAGGCCACAAAACAATGGACTGGCTATGAAAGTTTTAGATAAAGTAGGATCCGTTCTAAATAAATTCTTTCCTCTGGTTGTCCAACCTCCCCACGGGTCTTCTCTGAATCTAGTCAGGTTTCTGTGACCCCTATTTTAACATTCTTTGTCTTCCTGTCTCCAAAATTAAGAATCAGGCTCTTCAGAAGCTTTGACTGGATCATCAAAGGTGACAACGGACACCCAAAAGAGGTTGACGCGGTTGTGTGGATAGATGCTGCCTTGGCAAGGGTGTTAGGAAATACTCCTTTTGCTCTATTTATTGCAGCTTTCATGAAGCTTGCATGGTCTTCTCAAAATTAGCATGGTTTTTGTGACTACGATTTAGGAACTTTACGTGCTGAAGCTAAGTAAGCGTGAACTCAGAATCCTGGAGAGATAAATTCTACATCTCATCTTTACAAATTCCCATTCACCTTCACTCAAGAGATTCTCTTCCCACATTTAAAAAAAAATCCACTGCTGACCCAGGGTCAGTCATCTTCTTCTGTAAAGGGTCAGATAGTAAATATTTTAGGCTTTGCAAACCATACAGTCTCCATTACAACCACTGAACTCCTGCCACTGTAGCACAAAAGCAGCTGCAGACAGCACACAAATGCATGAGCATGGCCATGAACCAATAAAACTTTATTTGCAAAAACAGGTGGCAAGCCGGATTTAGCCAATGGGCAGTAAATAGATTCCTGAGCCCTGATCTGGTACACCGCAAACCTCACCTTCTGCTGGAGCTCCTCAAGGGTGCGGAAGCAGGGCTGGTAGTCCGGGCACACACTGGACTCGTGGCACTTGCCCCTCTGGCAGAGTTTTGTCTCCAGCTCCGCGTTCTCCCACTCCAGCTGGCGCACCTTCTCCAGGTAGCTGGCCAGGCAGTCATTCAGAAACCGCATGGACTCCTTCTCGTGGCTGTTCAGGGTATTTTTGCCCCACAGATTCCAATGTTGCCAGGAACGTGACAGGTCCCTGGCAAGGGACAAGCAGTGTGAAAGGTGGGGGGGCAGACAGAGGCTGGGGCAGCCCAGGGGGGTCGACCCCACGCAGACTCAGTTGGCATGTGCCACATTAGCTAAGTGGCACAGTGAGGCAGCCTTGACCTCTGAAACCCGACTGCTGAGGAGGGAACTGCAATGGTCAGAAGTCACAGTGCTAAAAGGTGAGATCCTGCTTTGCCCACAGTTGGGTGTGCTGGAAACCAAAATCTTCCTTCTCCTGTACACCTTATATAGGCCTTAGTGGGTGTTGGTGCAAGAAAACTGGCATTTTCCTCATTAATATTTATGTCAATTGTTATACAATCACTCTATTAGTCAGTGGTTTTTGTTTCCTATAAAGAGTTAATGAGCTCATAAAAGAGGCCCTAAGCTCTTGCTTCCCATTACTGCAGGGTCCTGGAAAACAAAAAACAGGGTCTTCTTCAAGCAGCACACTTTCTGTGGCTGTGAAATCTTTCCCCTTCTGTCAGCTTATGTCTATAAAATAATCAAGAACTAAAGACTCCTAAAATTTCCTGCAAGTTTCCCTCACTCCCAGATTCTTTTTCTACCTCTGAATGTTCCCATTGCAGCAAAATATAAAATGTTAGTCAATCAGGTACACTGAGGAAAGGGAAAAATTATGATTTGTTTGTTTTGATAGATATTTATAGAGTGCCCAGTGCAGGACAAACATACATCTAGGCTGTCTTGTAAGAAGGGGATTTTAAGTTTTAATAAGAAAGAAAAGAAAGGAAATGATCTTGATATTATGAAGACAGTAAATGGAGGTATTTTTTAAGAGAGCTGCAAAGATTTCAAGGTGGAAGAGAGCTCACTGAGAGACCAGAAAAAGACTTCATGGAGTAGGGGATTTTCCAAATGTGTTTTGAATGATATTTTCCATAAAGGGTTGGGGAGTGAGTTTCTCTCACAGAAAACAAAATAAACAGAATCAAACATTCCGAAAATGGAAAATAGTCTAGTTGCTCTCATGCTTATAATGGAGACATTATTCTCAAGCCTGAAAAGTTGCATTGAGACCAGGTTGTGAAAAGCCTTGAATGCCAGAACCATGGTCTTCAGGTAAAGGTGAGTGAAAGGTAAGGATCTGCCCTGGAAGCTGACTTTCCTCAAGTATAAGGAAAAGTAAACAGCCAGGTTCCTTTTGAAGGAAAGTAACAGAAAAAAAGGTGGAAAGTTATTGTATAAAAATTATTAGAAAACTGAAAATGAAACCTAAGTTCCAAATTGATCTTGGTGTTTGAAAACTAACACACATTTCAATAATCCTTGGATTAAAGAAGGAATCAAATGAAAAAGTTTTTAAGTATTTTGAACTGAATTAAAAAGAAAATACAACCTATAAAACAGATGTTGGCAATTAAGACTTTTCCCATGCATACAGAAACAGATAAGCAGTTTTGGAAGTGAGAAAAAAGGCTTATAATAAAACTGGATGGTTTGCAATTTTCAGGAAATAAAATTATGTTTCTGTGTACTGGAGTCTACAGGCTAATTAAGGTGGGCAGTGATTAACACTTTATGGTGTCTGTTCTCAGGGTCACACCCTCCTTCTCAGGCATCTTCCCTTTCTATTGGCCCTCATCACCCTTGTTTACAGAAGATACATACTCAAGAACTTTGATCTTTCATCTTTTGAAAGATTTTTGCATTTCTTTGAAATGCACCTACCTGGATTGTCCATTGCTTGGGAGACTCTAGGACAAAATTTAAATTTCCTTAATCTTCAGACACACTCAGAGCATCAGAAGCTTTATAACCTCCTCTATTTCTAAAACACATAAGCCAATGGCCAGTTGTTCAATAAACCCTGGAAAAGGGCAGCTAGCCAGCTTCTAGTCTATGCTAACAAAGATGCTACTTTGACCCCATTCCTAAGATAAATGAATTCACCACGAGGGCCCTTGAAGCAGCAAATGTGTGTTTCAGCTGGCCCTAAAACATAGCATCTCCAGGATGAAAGGGACTTCAAGGTCCTCTAGTCTAGTACCCATTTGCATCAAATCCCCTTTAATAACCTTCCTCCAACTAGTCATCCAGTCCACCATTTTCCAGGAGAGCTCACACTACTACCATCGGTTCCTATGGCTTACAAACAGCTTCCCAGGCTTTGTGCAAGACACTGGTATCCAGAAAATTACAGCAGCTAGCTCAGCCTTAAGGCACTCATATTATAGAGAATTGTTAGAAAGTCTGTCAGTTGCATTTATGCAGACACAAATCTACCTTTGTGCTATTATAGAGAATTGTTAGAAAATCTGCTAGTTGTGTTTATGCAGACGCAAATCTGCCTTTGTGTTACCTCTGCCTATAGCTTTCATTGGGTCATTCGTTCATTCATTCATTCAACAAATATTTATTGAGTACCTACTCTGTGCCAGCCAGGTACTGACCTGGAGCCTGGTAAGATATTAGCAAGTAAGTCAGAGAGCTGGCATTTTAGTTCATTTACTCTCCAGTTCTACCCATGGTGTCCCATACAGGATAAATCTAATCATTCTGCCACATGGCAGATCCTCAACTCCTTGTGGCAGATATGAGATTTCTCACTCCTGGGTCTGCATTCAGCATGGTTCTAAGTCCCCTTGCCAACCCAGGAATATTCCTCTGGACATGCTATGCTCCATGATATAACAGTTTCTATCACTCTTAAGTGGGAGCTCTAAAGTGGAATTTCTGATGAGTTTAGATTAAAAGGCTGCCCAATAGATGACAAGAAAACCTTCTTGTCCAGGACTTTTGTGTAAACCATGCTGGTGTCACTGGCTGTTCAACCATGACAACCACCCAGCCACCAACTCATCCCATATACAGTCAATGAGCTCCATGGGGACTCTTCTCTGTAACTCTAAACAGATGCGGGTGATATTCTCCAAGGCAGGGTTTACCTTGTCCTGGTGACTTACTCCCAATGTCTAATATTCCTGAACTCATGTTATACCAAAGCATTTCTCAAGGGGATGGGGGATGCAGAGATGAGAAGGAGAAATTTCCACACTCAAAAAGCTGAGAGCAGAAACAGAGGTCATGTAACTCAGTGGAGGGAGAGGTGACTAAGCCTTAGAGATATAGAGGGGCCATCAAAGAGACTTTGTCTGAAACTTAAGATTGGGAAGACTTGGATGGGTGGGAAAGAGGGGTGATAGTTTTCCAGAAAAAGAGGATAGCGCGGTGTCTCACGCCTGTAATCCCAGCACTTTGGGAGGCTGAGGGGAGCAGATCACAAGGTCAAGAGATCGAGACCATCCTGGCCAACATGGTAAAGCCCCGTCTCTACTAAAAATACAAAAATTAGCTGGGCATGGTGGCGCATGCCTGTAGTCCCAGCTACTCTGGAGGCTGAGGCAGGAGAATCACTTGAACCAGGGAGGCAGAGGTTGCAAGGAGCCTAGATTGCACCACTGCACTCCAGCCTGGGCAACAGAGTGAGACTCGGTCTCAAAAAAACAAAGAAGAGGAAGAACACAAGAAAACACTCAGAAACAGAAACAGGCTCAAGAGTACTGGGTACTACTTTAGAAATACAAATACACAGCCAGCAGCAGACCTGTTCCAAGTACCGGACCCCCAAAAAAATGAGTTTGAATGGCACAAAAACATCAACCCAAAGACCCAAATTGCATTTCCAAAGCCTATAAAACTGACCTTTGAACTCCTCTATACTAAAAACGTTGTCTGCTTCTATCTTCATAACATCTCCATTAGTGGTTGTCAAACTTCAACAAGCCTCAGAATCACTCAGTGGACTTGCAGAAATGCAGATTTCCAGGCACCGTGCCACAGTTTCTCATGTAAGCCACCTGGGGTCAGGCCAGGGAGTCTGCATTTCTAACAAGTACCCACGTGACGCTGATGCTGCTGGTCTGGGGACCACCCTTGGAAGACGGAACCACTGCTCCATAGCAAAAGACAAGTTTTGTGGTGACTTCATCCTATGTATATGAAGCACCAGGTCACAAAACAGTATTTGATGAACTCAAGAGAAGGAAGTGTTTGGATTACTGCACTTCAAATCACTTAGTGTGCAGTTTTCTTCAACACAATAAGCAAGCTCTGTTCGTTTTCCTCGTTTGCTCTTCTTTGCTGAGGTTTGTTGTAGGAGGATATCTAAGATGAAGGAGGGAGGAGAGACAAGAAGGAAAACGTCGCGCTGTGTTGCTTATGCCTGTGGAGAAGAGGCCAGTCCGTGTGAAAAACAATGTTTGTAGAGGACAAATAAAGGTCACACGAAGTAATATTTATTGACATCTGTTATGTGCTGGGAGTCAAGTTTGGCACTTGGTACACAATACTTTAATTCTCTCTCACACATGCACACAAATCTATATACCCAAATTAGATAGACACCTACTATGTGCCACCTACAATGTTATTATTTGATTACTTACTATGTGCCACCAAGTATTATACCATGTGCTTCCCATGTAGTCATGTCTTTCATCCTTATAACCACACTACAAAGCAGTTACAAATATCCCACTGTAGAGTAAAGAAGACAAAGCTCAGAGCAGTTAGGGAAGTGGTCTGAGCTCGAAAATTGGAATGGAAGTATGGGCCTTGACACGTCAGCCCAGGTCTGCCTGACCCTGAAGCCCAAGTTCTTTCTGCTCTGCTGGGTGACCCAGAAAGGGCCAGAGGATGGAGTCTGGACCAAGCACCAGGCCAAGACTCTTAGCCACCAGCTATCCAACTGGATTTATTCAACAAATATGTATGAAGCTCTTGCTCTGGGCCACACACTCGCCTAAATAGCTAGAAACAGAACAGAGTCCTCTGGAGGTTTTTGAGCAGATGAGAGAGAATCAAAGGAGAAATTTTAGAAAGTTAATCCAGAGCATGTCAACCTAAAACAATCAAAAGGCTCAGGATCCGGTTAAAAGAGTTTTTTCAAGCATAGCACGTGGGAGCGGTCTGCTGGAGACACGTGAACACGGAAGAATGGCAATCAGTACTCCCAGTGCAGGGGTGGGGAATGAAGATCATTGATATAGGCAAAAATAGAGGTGCTGAACAGGATTACAACGGTTTCCGTACAAAGGCTAATGTACGGATACAAGATTTGATTGGCTGCTATTGATTACACTTTCGGGGGGTTGCTTAACATTCTAATGTAAAGCAGTAGCCCTCACAAGGGCCTCCTTCTCCAATGTCATTTACTCTAGGTTTGAACATAGACCAGGGAGTCTGATATGTAATATGTCAACACACAAGCCAGGAAGCAATAGTCCTTGCAAGAGAAAAGAAAAACAGCTATATGGCATTACCCAGTTTCCAAGGCTTAACTTTTCACCTCGATATAATAAAGTTAAAAAGCCCTGACATTTCATTTTCTTTTTTTTTTTTTACATGGAGTCTTGCTCTGTCACCCAGGCTGGAGTGTAGTGGTTAGATCTCTGCTCACTGCAACCTCTGCCTCCTGGTTCAAGCAGTTCTCCTACCTCAGCCTCCAGAGTAGCTGGGATTACAGGCATGTGCCACCACGCTTGGCTAATTTTGTATTTTTAGTAGAGATGGGATTTCACCACGTTGATCAGGCTGGTCTCAAACTCCTGACCTCAGGCGATCCACCCGCCTTGGCCTCCCAAAGTGCTGGGATTACAGGCATCAACCATGGTGCCAGCCTCATTTTCTTTTTACATGGCCAGTTTGCACCCTGGAGTGGGGACACCCAATCTCTATTTCGTATGCTCTCTAGCATGTAATACAGTGTCTGGTACATAATATTTACTCAATCAATAGAACATGAAAGAGTGGAGGGCTGGTGATGTGTGCAGAACGAACTTGGCACGGAAGAGACAGGGCAGGAGGAGGCTCTTACAAGAATCCAGGCAGCAGGTGATGGAAGCCAAAACCAGCCACCAGCAGTGCTGATATAAAAGAAGGCACAGAGGACAGAGATGCTGCAGAAGGTCTCTACAAGACAGGGTGACTTACTGTATATGGGGTCAA